ATATGTCAAACACTTTAAACGACTTCTTCTGAAGAACTGGTAGTTATAAAATCTTAATATTTGGCAGGTGGCTTCCTGGGAAAGAGCCAAACAAAGTTTGCGAATGAAAATGACCTTGACCTACTTTCAAGGTCACAGCGTTCAAATATGTCAAACAGTTCAAACAGCTTCTTCTGAAGAATTAAAAGGCATAAAATTATAATATTTGGCTGGTGACTTCCCGGGATAGAGCTCACCAAAGTTTGCAAATGAAAATGACCTCAACCTACTTTAGAGGTCACAGAGGTCAACAACATTTTAATGGATTTGTTCTTGAGAACTAAAAGGAATGGATTCATAAGATTTGGCTGGTAGCTTTTTGGAATAGAGCTAACCAATTTGAGAAGGAAAATGACATTGACCTACTTACAAGATCACAGGGAAAAATATGTCAGCAACTTCTGAAGAAGAATCAAAAAGCATAGAATCTTATAATAATATTTTGCTGGTAGTTTCAACAGATGGAGCCAACAAAGTTTGCGAGGGATATATTTTTAGTGCAATATAATATTTAATGAGAATATTTTGCTATGACTGCTTAAATATTCAGGTGAGCGATACAGGCCCTCTTGGGCCTCTTGTTAATTTTGTGTGGGTCTAAAGTTTTTAATTCCTGAAATCCTGGTCCAGATCTGTCCGCTTATTTGTCACGCTATTGCAACTTCCTCTTTGATAAACTGAGACGTTTTTTGAGGCAAAAATGATGTCACTCAGTTGTTACTAATACATGTAATTATCTAAGAAAGTAAGTAAAAACTTTGGCCTATTTTATCCAGAAATTCAGTAGCCTCAAATTCTCAAAAATCGTCTGAATTGATAGAAAGAAAGATCGCCAGTATCATCTTCCGGCAAATTTTTCCTCAAAACAAAAAATAAGGTTTGTTTTCAAGAACTTTTTGTTGGTTTCACAATTGCTTAATGGTATCAAACTAAACTACAGTCAATTCAGTTGATTATCCATTCACATCGAGTTGGAGGAAACCGACAAGTAAGCCAATTTTTGCCCTCGTGCAAGCTCTAAATCTGGTTTTCCTCGGTGTCGGGCATATGGATTTTAATTTTTTACACCTCTGGAATGACAAATTGCTAATAACAGTTCCAAATTAAAGGACATTTTGCCAGATTTAGCTAGAAATATTACCTGACGTTTGAGCAGGTATCTGAAACATTTTGCTGGTCTGAGGTGAGTTTATTTTCTGACATGTCCGGCTGTCCAACAGAGTTTGTCATATGTGTTTACTGATTCAATATTGTTTGTCTCAAAAAATTTCAGCAAGTTTGTGTTCAGTAAAAAAAGTTTGAAGTACTGCCTGAAAACAGTCAAAGGTCACAGATGAATATAGATAGGATATGACCAAGCCAACGTATCCTCCTCACTGTTTAATTTCCTCCACATGACTCTTTCAGCCATTACCTCTGTTGAGATTTTTGTTTGTGGTGCTTGACCAGAATATGTTTGATGCCTCAAAGACATAAAAAAAATCAGTTTCCTCATATTTTCTTGAATGACAAGTCAGCATTCAGAACCATACAACTAGATTAATTTGACATTGATATATAAAGCACAGCTGTAAACCACTCTATAGTTGGTACTTATTCGCAGGAAATTTAATTTCACCATACTTGCCGTCATCATGGATTGCATGATATTGAATACCCAGCAAATATTGTATCCATGATTATATACAGATACACAAAAATGTAATGAATTATCAGTAATACAATATTTTGTTATCTTTCTTTTCAGTTACAGATTTTGTGCACCTCAAATTATGAGAATTCCTAGAGATGTTGATAATCGTGGGCTCCAGAAAGAAATCCTTACAAACCTTGGTCCATGTGTCAGAGAAGGTCTTCTTAGTCAAGTTAGTACATCTTGATAAAGAGAATAAGTGCATGATAAAAATTACGAGTCCATACATATCTGATAAAGTGCTTGAATTAATGAATATAACATGGGGCATTAAAAAATAGCAAATTAAGAATTAAGAAACTGAAGTCCTTGGCACAGTCCTTTGTATTTTTGTATAAGATTAAACTTTATTGACAATTAAGGATAATATGCACTAAAATGCCATACTGAGAAACCTGGTATATTTTCTTGGACTAAATGTCAGTCAATAAAACATTTGTAACTAGTGTTCATTTCCAAAAGAAAATGAAGTATTATTTACACTATAGTTTTGTGAGGAGAAAAAGTATATTGAGTGCAATTTTCAGGTAATCCCTATAGTGTAGGGTTTAGAAGTTAAAATGTTGTATAGCACAGGTCAATGGTTCTTACTAAATCATCTTCTGTTTCCTAACAGAAGTTGGATACACTATTTCGACTGAGACTGGTCAGTGGCAGTGCTGGACGGGATTATCTCCCCCTTGATGTGGAAATGCCACTGTACATGGAAAATGTTGACAGGTATGTAGAGAAAAGTCTCTCATGTTATTGTTCAAATAATATTTTTAGGTTCACTTTTGTCAGGAACTTCCCTTCTAAACAACTGAATATTATGTATCTATATTTTTTCAATTGAAGGGCTTTGTCAACCTATAGATCAGAATACGGCCCTCCACACATCAAACTTGTTGCCGAGTGGGACCCAGCTGTCAAAAAGAAGTAAGAGAAAAGAAACATACTGCATTGAAATTTTGCGTCTTTAATTTGAAAAACATTAGTTCAAAATTATTGATAAAGATATCAGATGGAATTCAAATAGCTGTATTTGAAGGATTGTCATTCAGTATAGGGTGTAATTGAAATAAGGTTATTCTAGCAGAGATCAGAAAGGTGGAGTTAAAATACAGAGACACTCCATTTAAAGGTGTTATTGACCTTATACAGGAAGATAGTGTGGTAGAGGTTACATATTCTTATAAAAGGGGAGTTAGAGTCCAAAACCAACATATATCATCACATGTGTTTGTTGGTTGGGTCTGATATTAAAGGCCAGTATCAGATGTTTATGCTATTAAATAGTTTGAGTGTGATGGATTATGTGTGATATCATTCAAAAAATTATTTTAGAGTGATCATCCATGATAATGAGACAATAGATGAACATCCATCATATCGACAAGTCCGCCAGCACAAGCAACCCGAGCCAATTTCCCTTGATGAATGTCTTCATCTATTCACCAAACAGGAGAAGGTAATTTCCAGCTGATCCAGCCAAAACCTTGCTGTTTATATAATTTGCACCATTTAAAAGGATCTATATATGTATTAAACATAAGTTTGTATTCAATCTAAACTTATGGATCTGGATAGAGTGAAAATAAAATTCTAAACAACAAATATGAAATAAAATACTAGATATTTCAGTTTGGCATATTGAGTTTGCAACAGTTACAGCGTAATTGATGTTTCATGATTAACGATACAAATGTGATAGAATGATTTGGATATATATTTGCTGTACCAAATTATCAATAGGAGATGGAACCGTATGTTTTACTAGATGTTCCAATCAAGGAAACAAAAGTAAATTCTACAAACTTAGCATTTATTATTCCTACCAAACTGATGAATCTCATTCTGATAAAAATCAATTCCTCTTATTGATTAATATTGCACATGACATAGCGTGAAAAAAGTTACTTTTGTGGTTATATTTGGGATTATATGATGTATTTTGAACCTAACTGTATTCAATATAATCATTTGCTATGTTGGATTATGAACAACATTAAACAAACTCGATCGAATGTAATTCTATGCTCAAAGGATAATGATCTATTACTACATGCATTGTATTTACTACAGAGCTGCCAGCGTTCACTGATGTGTGGTAGAATGTTAAATTGTATGTATAATTGCTACTTTAGTTGACTGGGGATGATGCCTGGCTCTGTCCTCACTGTCAAAAACAACAGCAGGGAACAATGAAAACCCTGGGACTGTGGTCTCTACCGGACACACTGGTCATCCACCTGAAGCGCTTCAGACAGGTGGGTACTCATATCTCTATAACTCCAGATACCAATGGATTAAACTTAGTTAGACATGGTTGTGTAGTCAATGTGGGTCAGTAGATTTCTCTTAATATCACTTCCCATTTGTCAGAGAAAAACATGATATTAACAGAAACATGACATAAACAGAATACATATTTTCTCACGTTTTTCAGCCCTCAAAACCGGAAGTGAACTTAGTCATATGCCTTAGTGATGTGGCTCTATGAAGAAGATTGTAAAATAAAAATATTTTGTTACTAACCTTGTTCTTTACTCTAGTTGAAATATAGTATAAGTAAATACAGTAGTATAGAAATAAATATAATATTTGTATTTCATTTCAGTATGCATACATTTCATATAGTTAGTAGCAAAATGACGATCAGTACGATCGTAATTATGATTGTTTACTGCAGTAGTGATGTAGGCTTACAAGTGCTTGGCTGGTATTCTGCATCAAATTCAATTGTAAACATGAGACTTGGTAAATATTTACCTTTATCTTGATATATATACTGTAATTTTTTTGGGACAGTGGCCAAAATAAAGTGATATTAAGAGAAATCCACATAAAATCAGGTGATAATAAAGGAATTGAATTGCATAGATTATATAGCAGGAAAAACGTGCATCAAAAAACATGATAATAACCGAAAAGTGACATTAAGCGATGTGATATTAGGTGAAATGTACTGTACAACGCATTAATACTAGAAACATTGTAGACATGGTTGTGAAGAAATCAGTGACCCAGGGTTCTTAGCCCCTCCTTTGAGAACATAGTCTCTTGGTTAAAACATAGAAATTCTCGAGATCCCCACCATACATATAATTGCTTGGCTTGCAGAGACAAACTCAGTCATGGCAGCAGGAAAAGGTCTCGCAGTCAAACTGGATACTGAAACAACTGAGATCAGCTTATATAACTAACTTTGGCCAAGGGATCCAGCCTTGCCACTGTTTTAGATTTTCTTCCAATAACTATATAATACAATGCTGGGCATGAAGACATGAACATACACTACCACATTTAGCTCTGGAGTCTAGCCCCAAACCTTGGGACTTAGTCCAAGGACCATGACACAAGCCCTATGATACAGATACACATGGTCCTTTTTGTCCATTGTGGTAAAAAGAAAGAGTGGACATGGAGGCTAATCAGGAGGGCCAATGTCCAAAAGAAGCTAATTAAAACTCTTTAAAAGCCTAACTTTCACTTTCTAACAACATTAATTTTGCTACACACATCCTTATCATGGGACTGGGAGACGACAAAATATCAGCAATAATATAATTATTTTGTATCTGAACTTTAATAGTGAATTGCATTAGGATGCCTGTTTTTACAAAAATGTTAAGTCTTTAAAAATATTTTTGTAAATTGTCACTAGAATCGTCAGAAATGCAAATCGACTTCAGTACTATCATGAATCGATGTCTACTTTCAGCCAGTTCCTCTTACATCAAGGATGCTGTGTTTCCTATTTTATTTGGCCATGGTTATTCAGTTCCAAAATAACTTGGAATGAAATATTACATTGCGTACTTTCATTGTTTATAGGCCAAATATTTCATGTTATGGATGTTAAGCATTTGATGTTGTAATCTGTGTAATTTGCAGGTTGGTCTGCACCGAAGTAAGTTGGAGTCCCTCATAGACTTTCCAGTGATAGGTCTGAACATGGGTAAACATATCCTTCGGCCGAACGGTGAATGTGATCTCCAGAGAGTCCCAATGAACATGACACCACAACAACAACGTCTCCATCAAGGGGAGCACCGAGACAACACGATCTACGACCTCTATGGAGTATGCAATCACGATGGTAGCATGCTTGGTGGCCATTACACAGGTGAGAAAAGTCTACTATGGGGTTCAATCAGGATTTGTATACAGCTGTGGGCTCACTTGTATTAACACATATGATATGGTGTAGTTTGTCCATCTTCTTTGATTTTTCAGTCTTCAATTTAACAGATAGAAATAATGATATGAAATTCTTGGCTGTGTCCCTGGTTAACCTTTATAAGATACTATGAAAGGTCAACATACACAAACATGTATATGTGTAGTCCTTAATTACTGTATTAATCTCATTCCATGCACATTTTGTTTTGATTTGAAGATTCGACTGTCTTTTTGAAACATATTGATAAACAACATGCCAAGATGCTTATGCTTTACCTGGAGCTAGTTCATTTTTAATCAGTTAAAAGTTTGTTGTTTTTTAGTGGTAAATTGTAATGTTGAGCAATTACTTAATGCAGACCTTCTTTTTTGTGGATAATTAAATGAAATGAAAAAAGCTCATTTGTCTGAAACTGGTAAGTTTGAAGCTGTTGTTTCCTTATTTTACAACAGTGCATAAAAAAAAATCAATTAAACCATGCCTATCATAAGAGCAAGAAAACTTCTATACTGGATTTGACCTCAAATAACCCCCCACACACTAATAACCCCCCTCCCCAAATATCATGGGAACAGGGTGGGTGCCTGCAATTAATATAAGCCCCCTCCTTAACTTTGTCTCTCTTAAAAATGTATGTTAATTTTTGTGTCTTAACATAAGCAAATTAGCTAACTGGATGCAATATAAAATAAACCCAAGTTAAAATTCTGCAAATAGTTATATCACTAAATTGCATAATTGTAGTTACATTAAAAGTATTACCTCATAAGAAATGATCTTTATTGCAGCATTTTGTAAAAATCCCTTGGATGGTGAATGGTATAAATACAATGACTCCAAAGTGACGGCTATTTCTGTGTCAGAAGTACAGACATCAGCGGCATATCTCCTGTTTTATCAACGCAGAGGTTTCTCTTCCGTAGTAACCCAGGATCTTTGTGATGGCTTCCACTGGATCTATAAACTTTACCCTCATGACAAGTTGTCAAATCAGCCCAGGGTCACGACAGCAACAGACAATGAAAAGAGCAAGAGGCAGGCTTCAATCCCTGATAGGGGAGCAAAACAGAGTGCTGTGAAATTAATTCGTGACTCAGAGGAAAACAGAAGGCCTGTCTCTCGCTCAGATAAATCAGTGCGAACTGCAAGTCATTCTAATGTAAATGGTACCGCCTCTCAGGGTGTGGATGTTACAGACAGTCACAGGCTGAAGTATGGCGCCAACCTACGGGTGGATATTAATCATGCTAACAGTAGAGTGAATAATATTGATAGGAAACAGCAGGAGAAAAGGTTATCACCTCAAGGACAAGATGTTAATTCTGTACATGGAACACTGAAAGTAGCCATGCCTCCTGCACGCCCATTGTCACATCCAAGCTTTAACAGTAGCAATAGTTCTCACAGAGGTACCGAGTCCTCTAACCTGACTTTGAATGGCAATAAATCAAATGTGCTTCGACCAACAGTTGACCAAAGAGTTACTGTGTCTGGGTCATCTAGTTCTGAGGAGAGACCCTCTTCTGTGTCAAGTCCGACACGAACAAATGGTGTATCAGATAAGTCACGTGAGACTGCAGCAGTGAACAACAACCGCCCACCACCTATTCCCAGTAGGAATGAGTCTTTGCCATCCAAACGAGGTAAAATTCCTAAGGATCAGCCTGATTCTAGTGCAGTTAGATCAAGTCCAAGTAAAACACAGCCAAGCTTTGCCACCCCTCAGCAGAACCGCCGACAGGTATCACCTTCTAATACTGTTACCTCTAAACAGGCCTGGTCCACACCGCAGCCAGTAAAAAAGCAGATGTCAATTGTATCCAATGGTTGTTCAGACGACCTTGGCTATCGTGATAAACAGCTAGTACGCCCACCGCCACCACCACCGCCACCACCAGTGTTTAAACCCACTTCTGGTCCTCAGATTCCTCCCACCAACTCATCTAGGCCCTCTGGTATAAAGGAGCAGAGGTCACTGGATTTTTCAGATTTCACCAAAAAGAAGTTCAATGGTAAGGAATACTGCAGTATGACTATAAATTGCTCATATTACACAAAACACAATGCCATATTTTTCCTGGCAAATGATGATTTCTTTTTTTCAACCACAGTAATAGATTGATTTTATGAGAGTGCAAGTGACTTTATTGCAATTGATTAAAGGACAGGTTTTTTTTCTCAATAAAAATGGTAGATGCTGAACTGTGTACTATCACCAATGCCATAGCATACATTGTATGTCTAGCAATCCAAAAATTATAATCTAGGACAAAAATATTTTTCGAGGACTGCCTATCTTCTGCCTGTCTTCTTTATTATGTTAACATATACATATATATTCCTTATCAGGCTATTTTTTTCAGGAATTCCCTCATCTACCAAACAATTTTTTTTACTCCACCTATGAATTTCTATTTGAATTGCCTTCCACCAATCCAATCCAATCATTTCTACATTAAACCCTGACTGTTTTTCATGTGCTTATAAGCAATTTGTTTTTAATGAGATTAAATATTTATTCTATTTCATATCATTTCATATACATAGCTACATATCATTAACATAATTGATATAACCTGTACACTTTCCAGAGCCTGATGTTGTGACCAATGGGACTCGGAGAAACGGTTTAGAACGGAGCATCAAGTATGCCACCATTGCAAGGACATCTCACAAGGGCAGTGCTGATGACTTTGTTCCTAACAATACTCGCATAATCCCTTGCTCTCAGACGGAGCATGGGCTGTCAACAGCAGAACGTCACATGGTAGAGAACGTGCTGAACCAAGCTCGGTCTCGTCAGCCAATGGTTGCAACAGAGACCTTCGCAGACAATATCCCTCGCTATCAACCTCACAAGCACTACTATAAAGGGTTTCAGTTTAAGGAACAGAAGCAGTCGTACCTCAAGGAGAAAATGTATTCACCCTGTCTTAAGGAGTCTTCAGTCTAGCATTTTAATGTAATTTATGTTGCTTTACTTACCATATCGACAACTGTTCTAGTCTCGTCATATCAAATGTCCTCAAAATAATGTGTCTGAGGATCAGTCCAAGTATGGACTTAACTACTATAGGTATATCAATATTTCAAATTGTATTTTATACACTATAGAAAACTGGTTATAATGGTTAACAGTGATTACCAGGTATTTCTTACACATCAATATAACAACAAGGAATTGATACATATAACAATCATATCCTTTATGCACCAGCTATTTGAGCTTTGATTTTGATAGGTCAATCTCCCAATGGTTGTAGATGAGACATTAAAATATACCTGTATATTAAAATTCAAATCTTGACAAAAATTTGCGTTTATAAGTGAGATTTTTTTTTTTTTTGGACTATGTCTAATGTAGAATTTAGAAAAGCATTGCAGTGAACACTAAGTGAGATATTATTCACATTAAAAACAGATATATAGTAAAGGGACTTATAGATTTATTTATAAGACTATATACCAACATTCCTTGTACTATCCAAGAACTACATCCATTTGGGAATGGTTGTTAAGTTTTCTGTTATATGTATATGATATACGAACTGTTAAATGGCAAAATGAGGATGTGTTACAGGTAGGGGGAGCAGTAGCTGTCATATGTAATATATAAATCTATATAGTATACATATGTTTCAATAGTCACATGCATAATGTATATCATTAAGTTTTCAGTGAGAATGAAGATATGCACTACACCTGAGACGTTCCATGTAGTAGTTGATAAACCATGTTTTATCCCTGTGCATTATTGATGGAGTTCACTAGACAAGTGTAGTGTTAGCGTGGTTGTAGTACACCACACTAAACAGTACGTCGGTCAGTTGGGTAGGTATGGTTACACTAACCATGAAATTGAACGGCATTGTTACTCTGTACAGATTACAAATTGTAGTTATGTTACTTGATTACCTGTGTCCGACAGATTACAATTCCTGTACCTGTAAACTAGATCACTGTAAACTGTAGATTACTCCTTTCTTGTAAGATATTTGTCCTGTAAGTTGCACGTACCTATCTTGCAAATTGAAAATTTCACTCATAAATTTATTGTGTAACAGTTTGTGGCTACTTACTTTCACTTTTTAATATTTTTAGATTGTTTAGGTAGCTGAGAAGTTTTAAGGAAGTTGAAACAACGAAATATACAACTTTAAAATAAAAATTGCAAAGATATATCTATATACATTTTCACTGCAATTACATATAAAAATGTGAGCGTGGTATTAATCCACACGATGATTGAATATAAAAGGACTGTAAGCACATGTTAGTTATAATCATAGAAAGTGTTCACCTTTAAGTTTTACCACAGAAATTATGTCCGTATTCAAGAGCGAGATAAATCTGGATGTATGTACATGTAATATGCACTAAGGATCAAAAGAATATTTATCAAGAATTTTTACAACTGGAAAGCAAGACATGTAGGATGTCATAAATGAGATCTATCAAAAATTGTTAATCATTTTGCCTTTAAAAAATCTCAAATTTGAATTTTAAATGTATTTTAGAGTCAAAAGAGATTTTTGATTTTTTTTTAATTCAGAAAAAGAAAATGTTATACAAAGCAATTGTAACCAAGATATTTGTTCACACAAAAAGGGTATATTTTTATTTATTCAGTGTATAAGTCCAATTGAAAATGTATAGTAGGAGAGTTTCCTTTTTAAATCTATCAAATTTACCAGGTATACACTAAGAATGCACATGTGCCATAGATCGAATCTCTTTAAATATTGTATAATATGTAAATTAAAGTGCTAGTCAGAAACTGAGAAGTATTTTTGTACAACATTGTAAATATATGGAATTGTGTATAGTAGATGGTGTATATATTAAACATCATTCCTAGTTATGTAAGATCCTAAGTGTATCTCCAGTAAACTTTGTAGTTGACTCCCTGAAGACACTGGTCATGCTCATCACTGTAAATAATATTGTACCCGTTGACTTTTTGTGCTCCTTGTGGAGAAAATTTACTGTGCTTTTATTTAAAACAGTTTTCCTAGTTTAATGAAAACCAAGAGGTAATGATACACATTTTTTTACTAATCTGAACCGAGAGGTATTGTACTATAATTGGAGCTAATTATTATAGTACCAGATAAGTATGTGTGATTGTACAGACCTAATTATTATATTACCAGATAAGTATGTGTTATTGTACACTTTGTTACTGCTTGTTTATATTACCAGATAAGTATGTGTGATTGTACACTTTGTCACTGCTTGTTTATATTACCAGATAAGTATGTGTGATAGTACACTTTGTCACTGCTTGTTTATATTCAAAGGATGATGGTCATATCATGTTTATAAAATCTGTCCACCACCTCAGCTTGTCAGTGAAGTGTTCTCTGCATATACATTTGTTAAGAATAAGTGCTCTCTTCAGAAAATGTTTGTCATTGAAAAGTGTTTGCTCAGAAATACGTGTAATTTTAAAGGATACCTGCTAAACAGTTTGTCCATTATATCTCCAATGAAAGGTTTGTCAGTAAAAAACTGTTTTTCCAAGTAAAATCTCTCTGAGGAAGTTTAAAACTGTATTATGACACACAGAGTAGAGTAAAAAGAATAATTATGATGAATCTTGACAACGGCTGAGCAAAAAAATTAAAACAAAATAGGATATGATGATTCAACAAATTAAGGGTATGATGAACCGGTTCATTGGTCTGGAAATTTAAAGATATGAGGAACTGGTTCACTGTACACAGGTTCAGAACATTAAAGAATATGAACCAGTTACAGGTTCAATACATTGTGTGTGATGATCCTGTACACCGGTTTGGAATATTAATGGGGGTGATGATCCTGTACACAGATTCAGAAAATTAATGGGGGTGATGATCCTGTACACAGGTTCAGAAAATTAATGGGGAAGATGATCCTGTACACAGATTCAGAAAATCAATGGGGGTGTTGATCCTGTACACAGGTTCAGAAAATTAATGGGGGTGATGATCCTGTCCACAGATTCAGAAAATCAATGGGGGTGATGATCCTGTACATAGATTCAGAAAATTAATGGGGGGGATGATCCTGTACACAGATTCAGAAAATCAATGGGGGTGAGGATCCTGTACACAGGTTCAGAAAATTAATGGGGAAGATGATCCTGTACACAGATTCAGAAAATGAGTGGGGGTGATGATCCTGTACACAGGTTCAGAAAATTAATGGGGGTGATGATATCCTGTACACAGGTTCAGAAAATTATCACCTGTACATAATGTGTCACAGTCATTGGTGTCCTTTATGATATCACCTGTACATAATGTGTCACAGTCATTGGTGTCATTTATGATATCACCTGTACATAATGTGTCACAGTCATTGGTGTCCTTTATGATATCACCTGTACATAATGTGTCACAGTCATAGGTGTTATTTATGATATCACCTGTACATAATGTGTCGCATTCATTGGCGTCATTTATGATATCACCTGTACATAATGTGTCACAGTCATTGGTGTCCTTTATGATATCACCTGTACATAATGTGTCACAGTCATAGGTGTTATTTATGATATCACCTGTTCATAATGTGTCACAGTTATTGGTGTCATTTATGATATCACCTGTACATAATGTGGCACAATAATTGGTGTCATTTATGATATCACCTGTACATAATGTGTCACAGTCATAGGTGTTATTTATGATATCACCTGTTCATAATGTGTCACAGTCATTGGTGTCATTTATGATATCACCTGTACATAATGTGTCACTGTCATTTATGAAAGGATGATAAAGAATAGCATAAAATTTACCTATTATTTGTGCGATATTCCCAGATGTTTAGGGAGAAGAAGTAACTATTTACATTGAAAGGTTTGTAAGTATAGGTCATGTAACTGGAGAGACAGCTTATAGTGTTAGGAGGTATGTAATGATTCCATCCAGTTTCTTACTGTTGCTGTGTTTTATATCACATTCCATGACACCTGCTGTACACATCAAGGGCCTGTTTTTCCTGTTTTGGATTGGTTTTTTTTGTGTGTGTGTGGAACAGTAGGTTAAAATTCTTCCTGTAGTGTTTGTACTTTTGTTTCCAATTTATTGGTGTGAAGTAAAGGAGATACATACCATATTATCTCCATGTTGATGTGATGGTTTCTCAGTTTTACATTCCCTATCCTCACAACTACTTTATACTTTACTTTGTTTAACATTCCAAAATTTATTTAAGATATATTTATTTACAGTTAGACAAAGATTTCTCACTAAGTGCTTAATTCAGTTTTTTTTTTTTTTCTCCTGAAAATTCGGTTTTTCAGGTATCTCTGGTAAAATTACTTTAATATGACGAAGATCACACCTTTTATCTTTTTCAAGTTGATTTGATTGATACTGCACAATCTTACTTAGCTATACCTACAACAGATTATTCTTGAGAATAATAACAGTAATTCAGTTGTCCGAAGCCAGCTGAATCAATTTAGAAAATGAAACTTCAATATCGTGATATTTTCATATTAATTATTAAAACTGTATGTATGACAGATTTGTTCTTTGGGCTCAAAGTGATTGCCGTCAGATAACAAAAGTATTCATATTTCTGCCAAATTTTTCTAATAATTCAATCTTTAATAATATGACCTAACATGTTAATAAGTTTAGTGAAGTATTCAGACTAAATTTTATGTTCTTCATCTTCCGTGAAACCTTCCCTAGCCATTTGGTCCCCATGAGAATTGCCAGTGATTTTAACTGTCTGTACACTGGTGATACTGGGTAATTATCATGTTTCTATGCAATCATTAGTTCCACTTTAATATACTAATACTGTTGCAACTGTGTTTAGATAATTAACAAACCTGCCCTCTGTATGATTGATATCATAATCCATCCACTTTACAATGCTGTTATAAGTGAACTTTAATTATCTTTCAAATTTTACTGTTTGTTGATTCAATTTTGTAACTCTTCTCTATGTTGATATTCTATGTGATAAAAATGGTAAAATCAGAAACTGTTTTTATGTTTTGGGACTGAGGGTGCCTTCAAGATCATTGTAGGCTACTGATATGTATTATAGATGTCTGTCTTGTTGCCTTTCGACACTTGATGTGAACTTAGCTTGACAGACTCTAAACAAGTCTGTTTCAAGTTTCCACTTATTACGATAAAAGAGCTTTTTAATAAGTATACATTTAAATGACTGCATCGCAGTGTCACCCAGTCTGCAGAGTTTATTGACAACTCTAAACTGTATGACGACACTGCTGTATCACCCAACCTGCAGAGTTAGTTGACACATCAACTGCTGTGTCACCCAACCTGCAGAGTTAGTTGGCACATCAACTGCTGTGTCCCCTTACCTGCAGAGTTAGTTGACACATCAACTGCTGTTGCACCCAGTCTGCAGAGTTAGTTGACACATCAACTGCCGTGTCACCCAGTCTGCAGAGTTTATTGACAACTCTATATAGTATGACGCTGCTGTGTCACCCAACCTGCAGAGTTAGTTGGCACATCAACTGCTGTGTCACCCAGTCTGCAGAGTTTATTGACAACTCTAAACTGCATGACGACACTGCTGTATCACCCAACCTGCAGAGTTAGTTGACACATCAACTGCTGTTGCACCCAGTCTGCAGAGTTAGTTGACACATCAACTGCTGTTGCACCCAGTCTGCAGAGTTAGTTGACACATCAACTGATGTGTCTCCCAACCTGCAGAGTTAGTTGACACATTAACTGCTGTGTCACCCAACCTGTAGAGTTAGTTGACACATCAACTGCTGTGTCACTCAACCTGCAGAATTAGTTGACACATCAACTGCTGTGTCACCCAACCTGCAGAGTTAGTTGGCACATCAACTGCTGTGTCACCTTACCTGCAGAGTTAGTTGACACATCAACTGCTGTGTCACCCAACCTGCAGAGTTAGTTGACACAACTATTCAGTATTTGACTGATGTGTCACCCAGTCTGCAGAGTCAAATGACATATCTTTTCTGTGTTACACCACTGAACTACAGTCAAGATTACAACACCATATAAATGTGTAACACTACACTGTCATTGACTGAGTGACAGAGGTATCACTGTATATATGTGTGTACAAGACATATGTAGGTTTCTGTAGTTTTCTCAGACATTGTTTTTCTTATATAGTAGCTGCTTTGATCTTGAACCAACTTTATGACAAGTCCATCCAAACCTGTATGTTGCATGTTGAGCTGCCTTATAGGAGGTTTGATAGAGAGCTAGCAAGTTCTCTATACATTTGTATAGCGACGGTTGTGAACTATGTATTTTTACGGTGAAGGAAGTTAACGGTTATGTTTGGAGACAATTTTATTTGTACATTAATTGTAACATTCATATCATTTTCTTTATTTCAATTTTCATCAGTTTATAATATGATAAAGGTTTGTGAAATGTACTTAATAATATTAACAATTAGTTTTAGTCTAAGATTTTTGAAAGGTGTTTTATTTATATATATTAACAAATACTTTTATGTTTTGTTGTTATTCCTTAATGTGCAGAATAATGTTTTTCAATTTTTGTGATGAGCTGTTGAAAATCAAATGGGAATGTTGATGATAATGTATTAATATGTTGTTTAAATTACCAGGTATGTTTACTGTACTTACAGAGTATCTGTTACAGGGACTGGTTACACTGATCTGTTGCATTGGGCTGTTATAAATTCACTACATTGCACGTTTCCTGTTATGATGGTGGGAAACTCCCTTAAAGGATTCTTATATGTACATTGGTCATATTACTATATGCACATTTTAAAAACATAAATCAGTATTTGAAAAAAAACCAGTAGAATAATTATGGATATGTAATGTTAGTTATAAATCATCCATCAACAATCCATACCTAGACATGGGTCTTGTGTAAATAAATGTATGTAATTTAGAATCCTCTGTAAAATGTAACAAAGTAATCAATCAAATATTTGTATGTATAAAAATGCACAGCTTCTGTACTGGCCATGACAAGGGTATGATGCCATTCTGCACTGGTCTGGTCTGTGTTGTTTTGCAGTTCTTGGTTGGCCTAGTCCGAAGTATTACACCATTCTGTGCTGGCCTAGACCAAGGTAGTATGCCATTCTGGGTTGCCTAGACTGAGGTATTAAGCCATTCTGTGCTAGCCTGCATCAAGGTACAATGTATTATGCCATTCTGTGCTGGCCATGCATGACAGGTAAAATCCAATTCTGTTCTGGCCTAGACCAAGGTACTATGCCAGTCTGTGGTGGCCTAGACTGAGGTATTATGCCATGCTATGCTGGTCTAGACTGAGGTATTATATGCCATTCTGTGCTGGCCTAGACTGAGGTATTATATGCCATGCTGTGCTGGCCTAGACTGAGGTATTATATGCCATACTGTGCTGGCCTAGACTGAGGTATTATATGCCATGCTGTGCTGGCCTAGACTGAGGTATTATATGCCATACTGTGCTGGCCTAGACTGAGGTATTATATGCCATGCTGTGCTGGCCTAGACTGAGGTATTATATGCCATACTGTGCTGGCCTAGACTGAGGTATTATATGCCATACTGTGCTGGCCTAGACTGAGGTATTATATGCCATACTGTGCTGGCCTAGACTGAGGTATTATATGCCATACTGTGCTGGCCTAGACTGAGGTATTATATGCCATACTGTGCTGGCCTAGACTGAGGTATTATATGCCATACTGTGCTGGCCTAGACTGAGGTATTATATGCCATACTGTGCTGGCCTAGACTGAGGTATTATATGCCATACTGTGCTGGCCTAGACTGAGGTATTATATGCCATACTGTGCTGGCCTAGACTGAGGTATTATATGCCATACTGTGCTGGCCTAGACTGAGGTATTATATGCCATACTGTGCTGGCCTAGACTGAGGTATTATATGCCATACTGTGCTGGCCTAGACTGAGGTATTATATGCCATACTGTGCTGGCCTAGACTGAGGTATTATATGCCATACTGTGCTGGCCTAGACTGAGGTATTATATGCCATGTTGTGCTGGCCTAGACTGAGGTGTAATATGCCATACTGTGCTGGTCTAGACTGAGGTATTATATGCCATTCTGTGCTGGCCTATACTGAGGTATTATATGCCATACTGTGCTGGCCTAGACAGGTATTATATGCCATTCTGTGCTGGCCTAGACTGAGGTATTATATGCCATACTGTGCTGGTCTAGACTGAGGGATTATATGCCATGCTGTGCTGGCCTAGACTGGGGAATTATGCCATACTGTGCGGCCTAGACTGAGGTATTATATGCCATGCTGTGCTGGCCTAGACTGAGTTATTATATGCCATACTGTGCTGGTATAGACTGAGGTATTATATGCCATGCTGTGCTGGCCTAGACTGGGGTATTATGCGATAATGTGCTGGTCTAGACTGAGGTATTATATGCCATGCTGTGCTGGCCTAGACTGAGGTATTTTATGCCATACTGTGCTGGCCTAGACTGAGGTATTATATGCCATGCTGTGCTAACCTAGACTGGGGTATTATGCCATGCTGTGCTGGCCTAGACTGGGGTATTATGCCATAATGTGCTGGTCTAGACAGAGGTATTATATGTCATACTGTGCTGATCTTGACTTAAGTATTATGCCATACTGTGCTGGTCTAGAATGAGGTATTATATGCCATACTGTGCTGGCCTAGACTGGGGTATTATGCCATACTGTGCTGGTCTAGAATGAGGTATTTTATGTCATACTGTGCTGGTCTAGACTGAGGTATTATATGCCATACTGTGCTGTTCTAGACTGAGGTATTTTATGCCATGCTGTGCTGGCCTAGACTGGGGTATTATGCCATACTGTGCTGGCCTAGACTGAAGTATTATGCCATGCTGTGCTGTTCTAGACTGAGGTATTATATGCCATACTGTGCTGTTCTAGACTGAGGTATTATATGACATACTGTGCTGTTCTAGACTGAGGTATTATATGCCATACTGTGCTGGCCTAGACTGGGGTATTATGCCATACTGTGCGGCCTAGACTGAGGTATTATATGCCATGTTGTGGTGGTCTAGACTGAGGTATTATATGCCATACTGTGCTGGTTTATACTGAGGTATTATATGTCATGTTGTGGTGGTCTAGACTGAGGTATTATATGCCATACTGTGCTGGTCTATACTGAGGTATTATATGCCATGCTGTGCTGGCCTAGACTGGGGTATTAAGCCATTCTGTGCTTGTCTGAACTTTGATGTTACATGTATGCTGCAATGTGCTTGCCTGGACTGCTATTTGGGAAACAACTAACTTGAGGTATTATATACAAAAAACTCACCAGTGTTTAACATTGGTCTGCAATCTGTTTTATGGTATCTGTTGTAAGACATTTTATCATATCATGTAGTTTTAGACATTTCGTACGTTTTCATAAGCAAACTGTTGGCAGGGTAATTTCTGTACACTCATGTTATGTTAACCAAATATGATTGCTTGATATTGCATCATTTTGGATATGAGACGATGGAAAGACATCAGCCCATCTGAGGATGTACCTATAGTGGTACTATACCTATTTTCAGTCTCTGTATTGTATTAACAGGGAGGATTAATGTACTCGCCCTGTGCCCCAAAGTTTTGGTGCAAGTGTTTAAATTAAATTGTCAAGTATTTGTAATAGCATGGTACTACATTGTATTTGGTATTGATGATCACCAGGGATCCAACATTGATGAAATGCAGTCAAAAAACAAAATAAAGTTAACATCTTTTAAAATTCAGACCTCAGAACAACTTTTTGGGGGGATTTTCTGAGTGCTGAAGTTTTCTCCCATATTTATACCTCCTGCAAGTTTCCGCCTTAGCCTAAACTTGCTTCATAATTAAATAAAATTTGATTTTTTGGAACAGTTTATAATATGGTATAAAATGTTTAAGTTACATTTTCCTGAATATTCTACAGCTAATACAATAACCACGCATTAACTGTAAAATTATATCACTAAACACAACATCCAGCTATGACTTATTTTATTTTGAATATTAACATTTCAACTGCATTGTCATTTTAAAACCAAACAGTCAATCGTTAGTTGCGAGACTATAACTCTGGGATGGTGTTGATCATAATCATAATGTTGGAGAAAGCTGGCTGATACTTGCTGTTACATTTATTGAAAATCTACCTCAAGTTTGAAAGACTCGTATGAAATTTAGATATCAATTTATTGTCAAAATCAAGTAAATACAAATATTATACCGCATTCTGTTCTTAGGTCCTTTAATTTTGAACAGGATCGCAGACAAATAATGATAACTTGCTTAAATATGTACGTTATTTGATTTGTTAACTATCCTGTTCAGAAATATGACTAAAGCAGTGGACAGGATGTAGTTTAATGCTATACATGTAGTACTTGTTTCCCAATGGCTGGCTGATTGACATGAACTGAGTAACACAGACCTTAGGACTACCAAACCACTTGTTGTACAGAAAAAACCTCAATAATACCCTGAAGCTATTTGGTGTGTTTTGACACATTAGGTATTTTACAAAGCAGTGCTCCAGGCACACATCTGGTGTACATTAATGATGTTGGCTGTAAGGCTTACATGCTGTGTACAGACTAGCCATGTCAACTTGGATCCATGTTTTCTGTCGTACAGTACATTTCAATATTCATGCCATGTTGTTCCGAGAGATTTTTTTTACCATTTGATGATGTTAAGATATTATTATTGACATACCTGTATGTAATTAAGCATTACATAATTGGAAATAGATCATTTACATACCTGTATGTATCACTGTTTTACCTTCATGTACAATGTAACAAGAATTAAAAACTTTATGATTCAAATTTTAAATGTTTTTACTTTTTGATTCAAACATTTTTGTAGTGTAAATTAAGATTTCTAGATGTAAACAGTCAAACCATACAAGCTTCTAATTTATTGATAGACAGCTCATGATCACCCACAGCAACAACAGGTACACATGTCAACAACAACGTCAGGGAACTCCTTACTGGAGTTCAATGCAAAGTCTCGAGCTTGTAAATAAAATAGAAGCATACAAAAAAAAGGGGCTGACCCTTCTGGGTGCTGATCATGAAAAGCTGGGAAATAAAGGGGTCAAATCGCAATTGGCTGTATTTATTTCTCCAAACTTATTGGGCAGATTTCAGCCAAATTATAGTGAAAGCTAGAGCAAAATTCTGGAAAAAAAGCTCTACCCCAAAAGTTACTGTTCGAGTTAGATTTCAACTTCATATCCAAAATAGCCAGTTGGCAATATTCAATTCAAAGCCCTTAGGCTTAGTGTAACCGACTACCATGTTTTCAGAACAGATACAAGTATTCATTAAAGTAAGTCATGTCATGTGAAAGATAACCAACAGCAATTTTAGTGATTTACATAATTTAATAAAAAAAATATCACAGAATTAACTCGGTTCCAACCAGTGCTTTACACACAATGATGACAATGTTCACATTCAAAACATACACAAATGACAACAAAATCACTGTGTCATACACCTCCCTGTACAATAGATATTACACTGTACACCTATAACAGCGACCTACTTACACACCATTTTACATATCCACATCTCTTTTTGGCAAGTGTTTGGCAAAAGTACTAACAGACACATGTATATGTCTAACCCTTTCAACCCTATGTTACTTTAGTAGACTCTACCATGCATTGATCTGGATGAATCCATTATGGTCTACAGTAGTGAAAGGGCTAATAATCATCCTATAAAGACAAAGACCTCCTTAATTAATTTGTCCTATATTTGATTAGAATCTAAATAACTTACCTGAAGGTTCTTTATTTACATTACATTAACATTATTACACTAGAGCAGTGAACATATTATTTTCCATTTTGGAGACTGGTTCTCATTGTTTATTCCGGTAGATTAATCGGACAGAATGCCAGACCAAATAACTGGACCTCCAAAAACATCTAAAAATGTATGCCAATCTCTCTAGGTTACTGGTATCAAACATGAAATTTCACTATAAATTTTTAATATCAGATATCAGTGTTGGTATCACAACCGAAGTACAAAAGTATAGACTACAAAATATTATGCTCATTTTCTTTATAAAAATTAAACCATGAATTGTGATTATCTTGTCTTTTAAAAATAATAATCACAAGTATAAATGAAGTTTAAATTGATAAGTGTAACAATGCAACAACACGTTACCAGTTTGATATGTATTTTATAATCTCTAGCGTACATCAACAAGACCCAGAGGGCCTGTATCGCTCACCTGCATGTTTAAGCAATCCTAGCAAAGTATTCTCATTTAATACATGAACAACATTCATATATGCAACTTCTGATTCCCTGATTCCAGGGATGCCTTATCATAAATTTGGTTGACATATGATCAACTAATCAGCAGAAGGCTTTCAATTATTTTAACATACAAATTAACCCATTATACCATTTTAACATACAAATTAACCCATTTTACCATCTTTTTGCCAGTGCCAAGGCAGCTTCATTCTTCTTACCATACAAAACTTCCTTAACACAACAATTGATTCCCAGGTCAAATGATGCTACAAATGGAATGTGGTATAGATCTGTATACACCTGGAATGTTTGAATACAGTTTTAGGGAAGGGATTTCAGCTGTTTCTATGTCATATGGACTTATTCTCAAGGACAGGGCCAGAACTCTAGGCTAATCCTTGTAATATGAATGTGTTTGTCTGTCCTTGCCCAACAATTGTGTTTATGGTTACAGGGTGGGGATCTCAACTGTTTCCACATGATGATTCAGGATCTAAGAGCCTATCCTAATAGCATATGTGTATTCATTTCTTCATGATAAGCAATTGAACATATATGATCATTATACATTTCCATGTTATGACCAAGGGGCTAAGTCCCTTGGGATGGGCCACATCCTCAGATGATACAACATTGAGACCCCTTTGCCTGAGGATGCTTCAGACCAAATTTTATCAAAATCCACAGAGCCATTTAGCACCAGTACCATAATAAAAGAAAAAGTAGACAGATGATTAACGGACGGTGGAAGACAGATGACGGATGGACGCTGTGCCATAGCATGAGCTAACCCGTTCTATGAACCATATGGTGAACTAAAAAAGATGCAGCTCTTGAAATTATTGCAATTATTGCTAGCTAGGAAACAAAGTGCAAGCATAAAGACGAAACTGATGTAAGTATATACGTATACTCTATCATGTTAATTACTGTACCCTGATCACACTCTAACATGGGTAATGTTACACTAGATATATCCTGACGACCACTTTGTGGTGGGGCATACTACTATTCGTCAGCTATCATCAGCTGGTGGTAGAGTAGGACCAGATCCAATAATGGGACATTTATTTTGACACAACAACTTTTATGAATAAGGGACGGACCTTGTTGATTGATAAACTTTCAGGAGGCAAAGCCAAGGTGTTTAAGGTCTGCATCCATTCTTAAAGGTCACTTGGTACTAATCTAAAAACATTATACGTGTATTTCAATAAATAAGATGGACCATTCCAGTAACGTCTAAAACAGTGTTCATGAAATAGGGACGGACTAATTAGTGCTTATGTTACTTTCTGGGGTGTTCAATTATGAATTATCCTTCCCCAAGTATATATGTTGTATTCAAAAGTAGCTGAACTGGTAATCGGTCACGAAGGTTCCAAACAAACTTGTCAAATGAGACCTCTGTAGGCAAAACCTTCCTCAGAACAATGTTCTCAATCTTTGGAATTATACGGACAAGAATAGAAGATATGGTTGATGAAACTGTTAATAACTCATTTTAACAAGGTATAACTTCACATATGTCAAGATACTTAATCTCCAACCTAAAAGTCTTCAAGATATGAAAATATCTCAAAAAATATTTCTTTAATTAGTAGATATGTTAACAAGCCATTAATATTTATTCAGTATTTATGTGAATTTCATTGTTATTTACTCAGTACACTTCTATGATAATTAAACAGAAGCACAATTGCTATAACATACTCACAAAAATTGTGCAGAATATAGTTATGCAAAAAAACAAACCTGTATACGAAAGTACATGTATACAGCAAACAAGCTTGTGTATACAATGTAGCTGTTTTACAACAAACCTGTATACAATGTAGCTGTTTTACAACAAACCTGTATACCACATTTATACCTCCAACAATCCTGTATACCACATTTATACTTCTAACAAACCTGTATACCACATTTATACTTCTAACAAACCTGTATACAACATTTATACTTCTAACAAACCTGTATACCACATTTATACCTCTAACAAACCTGTATACCACATTTATACCTCTAACAAACCTGTATACCACATTTATACCTCTAACAA